AAATAAAAAGTACTATCAAAAGAAGTGTCAAAATTAGTCAAATCAGGTTGTGTACGCAACACCGCAATGAGCTCGCGTTTTATGCAGCACCACGCAAAATTCAAATTTTTAACAGTCATGAATCTATTTAAGTTATACTTTTTCATGAAAATAATACAAATAAAAAATATCCACAAAAAACTAGTTATGAAATAAGTCTCTCGTATTATCTATTGTTTGATTAGAAATTTTTTAGTTATTAATTGTATGACAAACACGTGGTTATCAATAATTTCTTACAAATAATTGAAAAACTAACGAATTATTTGTAATCATTAACTCAATTTTTGTAATTTTCGACAAAAACAGCTTTAATGATTGAAACGCTACTTTTTGATCGTACAAAAACTGTACGTTTCTTGCTGTGCCTAACTTTAGGTAGTAACACAAGACTTTATAATTTTACATGAGTGATTAAAAACTGCAATGGGCTTCTTTGCTACGAGTGGCTTTTGGAGTTAGTTGGTTAGGATGGGAACATAGAACTTATTCGATTATTCAAATGTGTGAATACTCAACAAAAAAACGTATTGAACCACGAGGATCTATGCCATGCTTGCTCACCAATTAGTTGTTATCGAGTAGTAGAATATTTACTCAAAGATAGCACTATAGTACTTCGTACAGTTCTGCAAACAAAACTATAATCCTGACGAAAAGTAACACGATTCATTTTTTCTCGTTTAAAATAACACATAGAAAAATTTGAGTCAGGTCAATTTTCGTAGAAAACAAGGATCAGACTGCAATTGCAGGGATTTTAACTTATCTAGGGTGCCAATCACCAAAGTACTTTACATGAGGTAATGTATTTTTGACCACTGCGAGAGGAGTAAGTTTTTCTACGACATGGTCCCGACATTAGCGCCCATATAGTAATATTTTATGAATATTTGGCTGTTTCGCTATTGAAGTCCAATAATGCATTACCTTTATCCTTATAATATATTCCAGGGAAAACTTGACGTCTCACTACTTATTTTTCTCTCTTATAACAGTCCTAGTGTGCTGCGAGTTGCATATACCGTACGTATTCATACCGTATGAGGACTTTCGTTAATTATTCATTAAAGCCACATATTTAGATTGAATTTCTTCTAATACGATGACAGATATGACAATTACTAAATAAAATGTTTTTCTATGATTTGTGCACTTAAAATCATCAATATTAGCTGCTGCAACAACGATTTTTGTATGTCATTTATTTGATTGTGCTGGGATTAAAGTGACTTAATCGGTTGGGCTGGGAAAATAGCAGTTAATCGATTAGGTTTCGTGCTGATTATGGGAAATTGGTAACTTGGATCATTTCAAAAGTTTGTTTGGACAAATGTACACTAAAAAAGGATATGTTTTCCGGTCGTAACTCAATTTTAAAAAAAATGGAATTGTTCGGTTTGTCTGGGAAGCCACAGATATATGCATGCTCGAACCACTTTCATATATTTTTTAAATTTTATCGTACTTAGTAACAGAAACAACCCATCGAAACAAAAGAAAACTTTTATTGAAATAACCATTTGAATTGAGATAGTTCTGGAAGATTGTGATTACAAAAGTCTAAGTTTGAGAAATTCAAGAAAGAGAACCCATTTTTTTTTATTAGCTGCAATAAGCGACTTCTGGAAGATTCTGACTATGATTGGTCAAAGATACAAAAATAAAAACATGCTCTTTTGTTACTACTAAATGTGTCACAACCGTATCACATTCATACTGCAAAAACGCGCATTCAAACTCCATGTGCATTCACATGTTTATCTCACGTCCTAAGCAATCTACACCTTATAACGAATGTTTGTTCTAAACTATACTAAATTGACAACTAGAAGTAGTAGAATCAAATGACAGACAATTTTGAAAATCTCGATAGTATCAATAACTGATGTGCTAAACCTACAAGAGAAGACTTTGCTCGCATGAGGTCAACTTATACAGCTTCCCACCAAGGAAATCTCAACCTCCGTTACGATAGGCTTCGTCTGACCAGCACTCTCAGACCTTCACTGCTCGAGAAGTGCATCTCTGCGTCGCGATCTGGGTCGATCCCAGAATAGACATCCGGGTCCTTCACTGCTCGGGGTGCGCTCCCCTGCTGTCGCGAACCCGGTATCCTGTATCACGTGACCACTGACTGGCTGGACTCTCCTACCATGCGTTCACCAACCATGTTCACGGTGGATCACCAGTCAGTGACACGGCTGACGAGACTATCACACTTGAAGTAAATCTGATTCATGCTCATAGATAATTAATTTAAATTTACACATCCGTTTGAATTAGATACACCCACTTAAGATTACAGTGTGTACAGTACTCTAATTCTATTATAAATATTCAAAACGTGACGGTAGCAGAACATTTTTTTTTTAAAGTCGCTTGAAAAAAGGTAATTATGTTACCGATAAGTAACTTAATGATGTAGAAGATGCAATACAATACATTGCACCTTTACATAGTTGGGTAACAATATTATTCGCACGCTTGTCCCACTATTATACTTTTGCACAATAAAGACGACTAACGTGGTGTGTACGACCTGAATGCAGCTGCAGGTATATTACTTGCAGGAAAAGAACGCAACATGCAAAAGCGCACAGTTGCTAAGAAAAATCAGGAAAATAAGGAGATGGACGACGAGGGGACGGTGTGCGCGAACGCACTGCCACTTAAGGTGGCTCCAGCGCCTAGTGCCGTATCAAAATGGGGAGACTAAAAATTAATCATTATTTTCTTTAAAATGTGGTATAAAATTATCGTAGAGACTGTTGTAAGCCATATTCTACATTTTATCTGTTACTTTAGTGAGTTAATATAAAAAAACAAAAAAGTTTTATAGTGCCCTAATTGATGAACTGTTACGGTACGCTCCTAAGTTCAAGAGTAGTTATACCTATTGTTTTCGTTCACTCGTAGATTCGAAAAAAAGTAAACTTGAATCACAGAAGTAACTTCAAACTATTTATTAGTGTTGAACAAATACACGATATCTTAATAACAGCAATACGTCTTACTTCTACGAAATCTCAGACGAAAACAGATGCAGGAAAAAAAAAGAGCTCAAGCTTTTGTTTATTTAAACGTTACCATGACAACAGAAAAAAGTATAAAAGAACAATAATAAATTGACAATCGTCTCAGAGCCACCGTCCGCGGTAAGCCTCTACGCTTTCCCGCCCCGTGCCCTGTGTTCCTTTAGGGAAAACGTGCCCCCAATAGCTCTCTACAGCTATCGTGACACGGCTGACGATTCCGACGACTCTACAGCCGGTATCGGCGAAGCGACTGTCAAACTCAATAATGCAAATAACAAATTAAAGCTCTGTTAGGTCTTTACATTACGAGACGTTCGTTCTGTAACACCTATATATATGTACTCTGCAGAATTCAGACAGCTGTGAGCTGACTTGCACTCGCAACTGTATACTTAGTCTCCGATTATTTAAAGATTTTGTTCGATAACAAGCCACTTTTCTCATGTCATCGAAAACTGCGTCATAATATATACAAGATAGTATGTTTTTTACACCTTACGGGTTATTTATATAAGTGCAGCAGTAGGTTGTACATCGCGTAAGCTTGCATTTCCTATCGAACCCGTCTTAAAACTACGATTTTGTAAGCATGATTTCTTACAATTTTCATCGTCAACCTTGATTTTTTTTTATACGAATAGAAAGATGGGAATTCAAAGAATATAATTCAATTTTATTAACCTCGGTTGGGTTATTTATAATTTTAACATTGAGGCCACTGGAGCCACCTTAACAGGATCAGGAAATGAAGGAGATGGCGTGCGCGAACGCACTGCCGTGCAGCGATTAGGGTGACGAGGTGACGGCAAACGGTATGGCGCACGAAACCATGTAGGAGTTGGTGGTGGTGGCTTGTCTTCTGCACCGACGATGCTGCTGCTTTCGCTGTCACGATCACTGCTGCAGTAGCTGCTGTCATTGTTGCTGCAGTGCTGTGTTCTTTAAGTGTTCTCTGGAGTTGCTTGCTTTCTTTTTCCCATGTTCTCTCTTGCGCGAATTCTGGATACAACCATTAGTTCTGAGTTTTGGCACCGAAATGTAGCTGACAAAATCAGCTTCGCACAAAGAAAGAAACATCTTTGGGAAATTATCGAATTTTAAAAATATTTATTGCTGCCAAACAAAAATGTGACTCAGAGTCTTGAAGTTGGTGGCAAAACCAAACGTTTTTTAACCAAAATCAACAACATCTTTTTGACATGTCAACGCTTGTCATTTTCATTCGAACACATTTTTCTTACTTCACTACACATACATGACAGACAAACTTTCACATATTTCACTTAAAAAATATAAGCTTGATCTATCCGAAACATAAACTAAACCATATATATTTAAATATGTTATCAAGACATTGTTTTCATAACAATTTTCGTAATTAAATGTTCTTATTTTTGTATCTTGTAGATATTAAAAAACCAATTTACACTCTTCGATTTTTACAATAGGTGTAATCTTTTATTGAAAATTCTGAAACTGTTATTAGTGCTTCAGTGGGAAGAGAATATTTTTATTTTTTAGATGCCTACTTATGATCTTAACTATATGCACTGTTGTGAGTACAGCTTTCTTATCCTTGCCATTTATGTGTTCATATTAAAAATTTGTTTTGAACAAGAAAATATGCATATTACTTTCTCCACACGTCGAAGAAACGTGCCTTTTCCGTCGCTAACAATTCCTATTGCATTGATATAACACAAATACTACTTCACTTTCTACGTCATGCGTGACTTATGATACTTGGCTCGTTAACTTATCAGTAATTATCTTTTAACAAGGCAGTAGTTGTCTGTCTTGTCAAACGATTTAATACATTTAGTATTGTGTGTGTTCTACAGCTGTAACTTTTATAACTCTAAAGAGTAAATTAAATTGTTACTGTAAAATAGTTTACTACAAACGTTTCTGAAGTTCTTAACCATGCCAAAGGTATTTTTTTATATACATGTATAACTACTTGTGTAGTGTGAACAATTTGAAGCAGTTATAAATACATGTAAGCATTAAAAAGAAAAACTTTAACTTGCATATTTTTATAAGTTGTCTGTAATAGATAGTTCCCAAATCGTATCCATCCAAATCCATTTTATATTTAAAATAATTTATGCTTGACTGTCACGTTAAAGAGCTATGATTTTGAAATAGATTTATGAAAAACTGCTTGGCTAAAAAATGCGCAGTAACTTTGTCTTAAAATTACTTTCAATGAGAAAAGTTACATTGTCTTAAAATCACTTTTAATAAAAATTATAAAAAATTTTCCAATCTAGAAAATGTATGTTGATAATTCTCTGTTCGCTTTGAGCGCAGTTCCGAAATTGCGCCCCCACTGGGCACTTTGAGAACAATTGGTCGTAATAAGAAAAGGTAATTATTATGAAATCGAGCTTCCGGCTTCCATTCACCAGGTGGCCAACCCTTAAACGTCACTTCTGTACAAGCATATGGAAATTAATTCATAGTACTGTCCTTTTCTAATCACGACCAATCGCCAGTGGGGGCCCGATTTCGGAATTGCGCTCAAAGCGAATACCCTAGATATTATAGCTGAACAAAACATCTACTTAATTGTTTGACTTTTCCCTTTCCCATAACTTTAACTTGTCTGACAAATTTGTACTTGAATCTAAACATATTTTCTGTTCTCTAGCCATTGCGTCTTTATATGCATTTAAATTCATAGTAGGCAAGTTCTAATGACCTGATAAGAATTCATGAAAGCGAGACAAAGTTTGTGGGACAAAATTTATCTAAATACTTGATCTTCTAAATATGGTACTAACATCACCTCAAACGTCTATACTCGTGTTTAATTTCTTAGTGATTAGCATTATATAAATAGTTAAGAGTATCCAGTTTTTTTACAATCAATGTAACTTATTCTGTGTAACGAATGTAACTTTCAAATATAATTGTCAAAGTAGGCTAAAAATTCTTTCAACACTGGTGTTCCAGCTGCGGAAATCATGTTATGTTCACATGCAATTAAATGTTGATATATCATTGATTAGTTTTGATTTTAAAAAATGTAAATGTTGTACATTGACAACTTAATAAAACAGTTGTAAGTTAGGTGTCCTTCAAAAAAGGCTATTAAAACTTTTGCTGCTTAAAAAGCGTTACTTAAATAGTAAATTCTAATTGAAAAACTTTTTTTTGAAATGAAACATGTTTAGTAGATGTGTCTTAACCTACTTACTTATGACTGCTTTTAAGTAATTTATTCACTGTTAATGTACATTTTCTTGCAAAATTGTATCCCTGCTGTTTCCGGAATATCTTTCAATTCATTTGTAACATATTGAGAAGATTTTTTTACTACTAATCAAGTTTCTTACCTTTCACAACCTTGAATACTTTTTAATCTAGATTTGTTTGTATCTTGCAGTTCTCACCAGTTTTCGAAATACCATGGAAATTTTTAGACAGATGTTCAGTTATACTTAAAAAAGATATCAAACCCTACTACGAAACAACAAACAAGGAAATGTTTTCCAGACATATCATCAGAAATGAAAGCACAGTTGTGATGGAACGCTTGATAAAAGATGGATATGATATTAATGCACAAGATTCCCGGGGGAACACACCTCTTTCAATTGCAGTAGCGTGTAACAATGCAGATGTTGTAAGATTTCTATTGGACAAAAAGGTTGATATCAACGTCTTAAATCACAATGGTGACACTCCCTTGTGGATTGCATTGAAGAAATCAGGTAATTTTGTATTAAAAAAAAAATTATGATTTTATAATGACATTCAAAAATCAAATTTAGATGCTCATTAAATTTTGAATCGCTCAAAAATTTAATACGATCTTAGTTTTTTAAGTAAATTGTAAAAGCTCTAGTTTTAACAAATACACTGTTTTTTTTCGTCATATTTCAATATAAAAGAAGTATAAAAAGTGTTGAATTAGCTTTAAATTTTTTCACTTGTATTGGATCAGTTAGTACTTAAATGCTTTCGAAAGTTAACTTTTTACAAATATTTTCAATATTTCCTTAATTTATCCAGATTAAATTTATCTCTTTTAGTGAGCATGTAGACATTACACATGTTTAAAAAATTTCTAAGTTAAAAAAGTTGTGTGTCGTTCCATATAAGATTGAAAAATTCCTAATATCTTAACAGCTAATTGCTTTTATTAAACAATTGTGAGTTTACTGTAAAACCCGGGACCAGGTTAATTAATTTACAGCAGAATACATTATATTTAACAGTAAATTAAAATGAACTATGTGAACACGTAACTTCTATGTGTGGTATAAGTTCTTAAGCCCCCATTCGAACTCAATTGAGGCCGTAATTAATGAACTTTAAAATAGCATTAACATTGAGAAGTGTGTTTTATTTTACTTCTTGTATTCAAGATCATTATTTCTGTAAAAAAACACTTATCTTAAAAAATAATATTTAATTTTAAAAATGTGTCTTAGATACAATAATATCCATTTTTTGCAGTATCTGAAGCCATCATTGAAATGCTGATTGATAGTGGGGTCCATGTTAACATTGCAGATAGACGGGGTGATATGCCACTGACGTATGTTGTGCAAAGAAATAATACTCCTGTGGCAATCATGCTCATCGACGCTGGAGCTTTAGTCAACATTAAAAATAAAAAAGGATTGACACCGTTAATTTATGCTGTAAAAAACAATAACGTTTCTCTAGCTAGCATACTTATCAAAAGTGGAGCTTTGATCAATGATGCTGATAAGTATGGTAATACTCCGTTGATACATGCTGTAAGAAATAATAATGTTCCTTTGGTAAAATCACTGATAAAGGCTGGAGCAAATCTGTACATAACTAATCATCAAGGAAAGACTTGCTTTCATTATTTCATTGAATATCAATATTCAATTCATCCAGGAATGAAAAAAGTTTTAAACAAAGGACCAATGACTTACCAGTTTCCAAATGTGCCAATATGTTGTCTAACAACGAATGTTGAGGAACAACTTCATGAATCATTTCATGAAAAAGAAATGTGTGAAGAGCATCTTCAGCATAGCAGTGATACATAATGAAAGCATTTATTACATAATTTTTTTTAAGAGTTTCGAAAATATTTTGTTAGTTAATGCAGTGTTACATTTTCTTAGTTTTAAAATATTTAATATTTTCAAACTGAAGCCTTTTTCTGATTATTTTAAAGTTGGACATAGTCTAGTAGCTGATTCGATATAATAAAATAAAAATTATTTAAAGAAAACAGAACTTATTATAAATATGTATGTAGCGATTCAGATGTTGGTACCAATACTGATTAAACTCTTCTCTAATGTTTAGTATAGGATGTATATGGTAGATTTGTTATTAAAGACTGTTAGAACCATACTTATTTTGATTTTCAATTAAGACTTGTAATAAATTTATTATAAACAATTTGCTCAACTAATTGGATCCTGGCCAAACTGATTTTAAACATTATAAAAACAGTCAAGTTTTTTTTCTGTTGTTAATATAGTAATTAAGACGGTGCAGTTACCTTGGTCGCCTCTTCATTAAAGTACACGGTCAAAGTGATTCTCTTGTTTTATTTTAGCAAACCATGGTAATATATGTATTCCCACTCCTAATATAACATTTATTACTACAAAATAGCTTGGATATCAATTTTTCAACAGCGTATAAAGTTTGACAAAACATTAGTACAAGTTGTTAAAGTATACGATTATACTATGAACTCCATCAATATTTCTTCCCAAGTTTCACACGGTTTTGGACAAACTCAGACTTCTAACGAAAAACGAAAATAAAGGATTTTTTTTGTCAATAGTAATATCTGTAACGTTATTATAGTTTAAAGTCAAACAAATTTACTTATGCAGTTGACTTTAAGTACTGTATTTTTGAACAAAACTTTCTATAACTGCCCCACGTGACAGATTTTATTTAGGTTTAAGTTGGTGGTAAAAAATGTAGGTACTCAGATAAAAAAAAAAAAAAAAAAAAAAAAAAAAAAATAGCATTATATAAATAGTTAAGAGTATCCAGTTTTTTTACAATCAATGTAACTTATTCTGTGTAACGAATGTAACTTTCAAATATAATATTTATATAA